ATAAGCACAGGGTGCCTGGGAGCCCATAGGCAAAACCAGCCTGACTTTGGGGATCTAAAGTATCATTAATAGATAGATGTTGTGAAGAATAAAATTTTTTAACTGAGTAGGTGCAGGACATGGAAGCACACTGTGGTAGCTAAAAGCAAAATCTCTGGAGTCAGACTACGTGGGCTCAGTTTCTCACTCCACTGCCTACTAACAATGTGATCTTGGGCAAGTTTCTTAACTTCCAACCCTTAGCTTCCCCATCTCAAAACATAGGTCAACATAATACCTACCTCATAGGGTTGTTGAGCAGATCAATATGAGGTAATATATGAATTTTGAAATAGTGCCTGGCTCATAATAAGTTCTATGCAATTATTTGCTTGTTGCTGCGGAAAGTAGAAAGAGAAGGAAGTTATGAGTGCGATTATACAAGAAGCTGATGTTATAATCATATTGATAAATTAATTGATATTTTTGAGGCTTCTCTCACTATTATAAAACTCAAACTCTGAAAACTTGTTAAGGGCCAAGGGGGAAAGGAAATGAGTGGACAGTGGGCACTGCCAGGAGCTGCGTTGAATGGGGCCCTCTGAAAAGGGCAGCTGCTACTGAGCTCCAACCAATTACTGCCACATGCAAATGTCAGTCCAGTGATGCCAGACCTTCTGACATTTTAGAGAAGCTGCAAAACCAAAGCTCTCTCTGAGACAAAGGGGGGAAAATGTCTGTAGGCTGGATCTAGCCTTTTGAGAACCCCTCTAGGTTCTCTGTTGCCTCAGGGAATATGTAACGGCTTTCCCTTTCAAGTTCTCCACAAGGACGGAGGAGGAGAGAGGTTGCTGGGCTCTGGGAAGCCAATTTCAAACAGGCTGTGGTTTTCCTCAGGTCTGGGTCCCTGAGCTGTGCAGGCTGGCATGTTCCCCAGACCTGGAACCCTACTCTGATAGGTCCATGTTCTACCTCACCCTCAACAGAGGGTGTGTGTGTGTGTGTGTGTGAGCACACACGTGTGTGTGTGTGTGTGTAGCTGGTTATTGAATGTCCCACAGATGGTAATATTTATTAAAGTTAAGTGTCAGGGAGCAATTCATATCTGTTATACATATAAATGACTAGTTTTAGTATCATTCAGACTCCTATCATTTCATCCTCAGATATATTTTACAATATGGAAGAACCAAATTTAGCTTAAAAGGGATGACATTTATGATTACTGCTGCTGAAAGTAACATATGAGGCTATAATTTCAACAAACGTTCATTCTACGACTGTTTATTGAGCATCAACTGCATGCTGCTCTCTTCATACTCCTTCATCTGGTCCCCCCTTCGTGACAAGCAGTGTGAATATGTTACGGTACAATGAGTGACGGTGAAGGAAAAGGGGCTCATGTGGATTTGGGGGCATGCGACTTTGTCCTAATGAGTCCATGGCTTTATCAAATGATCCAGTCAGCAAGACCTTATTCAGAAAACTGAACACCGAAACTCGCCATAATCTGATTACTATGTTTCAGGTAGAGAATAAAATCAGCCACCTAGAGGTAATTATATTTCCCCTGGGTCTAAGGAGACATCAACAACCGAACTAGGTTGAGGATTTCATACTTCTTCCTTTAGCTTTTTCTTATTTGATTGAGTCCTATAACTCCATAAATTTGAATTTCCTGGAAAAAATTAGATTAAATAACAACATTTAATAACCAATAATAATTTCAGCATTTTTCCTACTCAAATTTACATCTTTAATATGTTTTTTGAAGATACGCTGTGCTTTGCTTTTCCCTACTGTAACAAATTCAGCCTCCTGTCTCTCCACTGGCTTGTCCCAGCTCAGGAATTTAATTTACATTCTAAGTAAACACAGTGCTGACATTAGACCATGCACAACTCAATGATCGAACTCTCTAGATTCAGCTAGCCACATCCAATTTGGGAATGCATGATTCATTTCTACTGTAAATGAGCTGTACCATTCAAGACAGCCAAAGGAAGGAACGAAGGAAGAGAAATACCTTGACTACTCATAACAGACACGGTCCCAGCGCTAACATATATCACAGAGCAGCCCTTCCTGTCTTCAATTAGTTTTCCCCTACACACAGTCTCTTCAAGTCTTTTATATCTTGGGACACAAACTGCATTATCCTCTGCTTCATCTAATTGACTGGAAATCCTTTTCCTTGGCAATGGAGAGCTTTCGAGCACTACAAAATGCAAATGCCTCTAATGTTATGCAACGTGCTGTTTCCCTCTGGGGTGAGTATTAAGACTTTTAATAGGAAATGACACTAACTGGAAAAGTTTATCTTTTCAATTTCTATGTTGTTCTTTCACATTGAATCCATTCTTTTATGTCATACAAAAATGTTTCCTATGTGAATATAGAACATGTAGACCAGTTGTAAGGATTAAGTTGGTTTATACATGTAAAGGACCTAGAACAGTATCTGGAGTACAGTTAACAGTCAAGTACTTATCACCATCATCATCATTTTCAATATAAACTTCCCTCTAGAGCTTTGTCACTTGGTTTCTTTAGGCAGTGAATTCTTATCTTGCATTTGTGTCAGGACCTCTAGTGACAATACTCAGGATAGGAGGCCTGTCTCAGAGCTTGGGAGTACCACTTTATGCCTACTAATTTCCCTCCTCTTTTAGTCACATGCACCTCATGGATGCTTCCAGACTGGGACTTGATCATTGCGTCAACAGACTTTCACTGAATACATATTGCATGTATGGCACAGTAGTTTGTAAAATATCTCCAGAAACTTTCCTTGCTCTGAAGGAGCTGGTAACATGTTAGAAAAACAAGACAAAAACTGAATTGAAAATTTATCAAAAGACAACAAAAATTATACTAAGGCCAAGCGTGATCAAGAGAGACGAAGGAGTGGTGTAGACAGGCTGATTCTGAAGAGGAAATAACTCCTACCTATTAGAGTAAAATGATAAGATCTCAAGGAAGAAGTGGGTAAAGGATGTGGAGGGTTTCATTCAGTGTGCAAAAGGATTACATCTTAAAATATTAATTTGTGTATTTTCTAGGTGTACTCTTCCTTGTGGTCCTTTCTTTCTCCTCCAGCCACAATGAAGCAAAAACAAAGGCCAATAGAAAACTTCATCTTGAGTGGGAGCCTTTTAGGGTACATGGAGCAGAGTTTTATTTCATTTTTTAAATAAAACTGGATCTAGGGAAGAGAAAGGAGAGTGCTGATGAATCATTGAAACTGAAGAGAGAAAAGGAGGAATGGGGCAAGGAGCAAAAGAAAGGCCTTTAACCTGTAAAGTCAGGGAGCTGAGAAGAAGCATTCAGCACAGAGCAGATTTGACCCCCAGAGCCTTTGAATGATGGCCCTCTTTTCCCCCTTCTGATCATTGCCTGTGAATTATCTTTAGGTTTTAACCCCTTGTAGGTCCATTTTTTACCTCACCCCCAACAGAGGTGAGGGGGACATAGACATCTTATGAGGAGCAGGGGTGTCAGGCAGGACCCTCAGATCAAATTAGGAGCCAACAGAACCAATCAGAAATTCCTCTTTGAGTGAGGACATTGGTGGTCACAGTGACCCTGATACATACAGAAGAGAACTGGTATAGGAACTAGCCTCTAATCCATTTAGAATAGGTAAATTGGAGTAATTCTTAATTCATAAAAAGTACCACTGACAACTGGGCTGTTAACCTATATACAGAGTCTGCCCCATGAGGCAGATACTATGTTCAACTACACATAAAGACCTGAGACACCCTTCTCTCCCCATGAACACATACTTTTATTAACCCCTTTAATCTCTTCTTTTAACCAAATCATAAAACACTATTCTTTTAGGATTGCTTCAAAGGATTAATACCACATGACTGTACTGTATAAGTGAAGAAATTACCAGGTAGTTATTAACACAGGATTTCAGGATTTAATTGGTAGTGTTGGCTTGTAAAGCAAATGATTTAACAACTGCCACAAGCAGAAAGAGCTGAGAAATCAGCTTGCCCTTTATTTACTTCAGGACCTGTACTCTCTGGGTCAGATTCCAGTCAGCTAAAAAAGTTCATGGGTCTAATGATCATCCATCCATCTACCCATCTATCACCCATCATCCACTCAACACAATACTTACTGAATGACTACTATATACTAGGGATTCATCTAAGAGCAGGGGTTTTAGCAGTGGGGGGAAAAGAAAACTCCCTGGTCTCATGGTGGTTATATTTTAGTGGGGACAGATAGACAAGAAACAAAATAAATAGGTGTAAAATAAAGCAGGTTGTGGAGAAAAATAAAATGGAATCGGGACATGGGAAATTCCAGGGTTAGTGGAGGAAAGGCTTAATGTTTTAAAAAAATTTAGGTCTATGAATTTATTCATAACTGTAGATTTCTTTGAACACATGAGAACAATACTGAAAATAAGTAAGTTTAAATTCTTATGATAAAGCATCTTCACTCCTCCTGAATATACTTTTTCTTTGCTGGTATTAAAATCAGATAATGAGCTTAATGGTTCTTTGCATTGAAACCAAGCACTGGTTTTCATCACTCGGGTAATGTTCTTTGCCTTAGGAGCATATTCAAATTGCTTTGATCTACAGGAGAAATAGAAGAATCCTTTCTGCTGGAAAGCAGCATCAACTTGGAGATCAATTCTTGGGAAGTATTTTACCAGCCTCTGTGAGTATCCTTTGTCCATGGTTTTGGTCACTTCATCAAGTCTTAAATTTTTAAAAAACAGTCAGGGAAGGCCTCTCTGAGAGGGTGACTGACTGAGTGTGGGCCTGAAAGAGCCCATGGAGGGGGCCATGTGGATAACTTGGGGAAGCATTCCATCAGGGCAATCGGGGAGGGCAAAGGCCCTGAGCTAGTTTATGGTACATGTAGGCTATCGTGTAGGCAGCAAACAGAAATTTCCAGAATTTCAATGACTCTAATAGATCTGTAACAGCAAATGACACATGACGAGTCTTTGGTCAAAGTAAATTTACATCCAATATACGTGAATGTAAATTATCTTCTTTCAGAAAATACTTAAGCTAAACATTGATTAACTTCTATATATAGTGTTATATTCTTGTTTGGAAATAAAATTCTAAGCCAATTCAGCAGGATTGGCGGTTTCTCTAAGACTGGCACTAGGAAGTTGATGACGATGGCAGTCAGTGACTACAATTTGTGATTGCCTATTGACTAAAACAGAAATTGTCATGACCTGACCTCATTCTAATGCAAACCCTTAACGACCAGAGTAACAAGGAAACTCTTCTCAGTGTCATGCCCTCTGACCAATGCCCCCTGTTAGGTTTGCATAGTTTTGCAAGCTTTCATGGAGGCCAGCATTCAACATGTTTGGCTTTTAACTGGCATCATTAATCAATGTGACATGAATCCAGGAAGAATAGTTCTCACCCTAGGGCAAGTGGTAGAAACCAGCCTTGTTAAGGTGACACTTCTGATTGCAGAGCTTATTCATCCTGAGGCACTTTACTCCCTTGTCAGGTCTCAGGAGATCTTTGGCAGGGGCCATCTTCAAAACCCTTTTCTCAGCCCCACTCCTGGGACTACGACGCAGTAATGGCTGGGCTTCGGACTAAATGAACATGTGAGATCTTCAGATATCTACAGACAGCGTCTTATACCTCACAGCAAGAAACAATCATCTTCACTTGCAGCAACATTCCTGGTGCTAGCGGGGAATTTAGTCTGAATGCTTTTATTTGCGGAGTTAAATTTGCAAACACAGTTGTCTTTCCATAATTGTAATTTGTACGTTAGAACAAAGTAGGCGAGAAACTAGGGCATAACTCAGTCATCCTTACTGTCAGCCAATTTTGAAATCTGCCAAACCTCCTGGTTTGTAGTTAAATGATCGTCAAGTGGTCTTATAATTTATTTCTCATTGGTGCCTGGAATGTTTGTAAAGAACCTGTGTTATATAAATTATACATCTGGCTCCTCCTCATCAGGTGAGCTCTTTGCTCACCTTTTTTTTTTTTGAAGTGAAGCATTTGTGTGTGTGTGTGTGTGTGTGTGTGTGTGTGTGTGTGTGTGTGAATGGGCAGAGTTCTGAATCAGAGGACAGGAAATGGGCTTTTCCCTAACCCAACTACATGGTTACTAGAGGTGCATTTCTTCATCTTTCACTTAATCTGCCTCAGTTTCTCATCAGTAGGAGGGTATCTTTTTGTTAAAAGGTTTTTTGTGGGGATAAAATGAACCCATATATGTGAAAAACATAGATGCTCTAAGTGGTAGCACAGTTTTAATACACAGATTATCATGAGTGCAGACAAACCCCCACCCCCACCCCCAGGTGTTAACCTAAAACTGCTACTCACCAGGTATGGGAAATTCATTTTAAAAATTATCACAGTTACTCCACAGAGTGAGAAGGGCATGTATTATGCAAATCTGGAGCACGTTACCTGACAACAGCTCAGTAAAAGGCAGCATTGTCGCTTGCAGGAGATGTGGGGAGTGTGCCAGAGGTCCAAACAAGCCAGAGCCCCAGAAACCCAACCTCGGGAGACTACAAGCTGTGCTGAAAGCCTGGCACGGGAGAAGTGGTGTGGCAGCCTCCGGTCCCCAGGGGCTGTGCATCCTGCCGCCGGCTCCAGTGCCGGCGGCCCTGCCTTTTCCTGGCCCTGGAGACAACACTCTGGCCTCGCAGCTCTCAGGGCAGGCGCCAGGGCGGAACCGAGCAAGGCCTCTTGGATGACCCCGCCCTCGGAAATGAATTGCAATGCCCAACTGCAGATTTCATTCATCTTAACAAAAGGCTACTCCTATTCAGTTTGATTAAAATAGAAAACGGACTTCCTAGGAATTATCAATGTTCAGTCATATTTGCCACACATTCGTGGATGTGAGAAGCCTGAGGAACTGCGCGTTACTATTTGCATTTCAGTGCCTGGAATACTTTCCCTTCCTCTGGTGTCTCACACCAGGGCTGTTGTCTGTGATCACGGAGCTCAAAATGAGAGATTTGTGCATATTACAGGAACTTTTTTTTTTTTTTTTTTTAAGCCAAGTTGTCTCCTTTTTCCAATCTGTTCAAATGTATTGAATAGTATGTAAATAAACTGCACATTGCAAAAACTTTTGTATCATAATTTGGTAGTAAATCAGTTATCAGCATTTTATTTAATCTACTGTTGGTCAGACAAGGACTGGATTGCACAAAAAAATAATCTTATGTTTAGTATCTGGACAAAATAGGGGCTCTATAGATAATAACCTCAGAGGGTGATCTGTTCATAAATTCCTAACTGGACAGGTCAGGGTGGTAGTCACACCCCAGGCATATAACTTTTTAGTAAAAGCTTTATCTTTGCCTTAAGCAAGCCCTGTCAATTTTTCAGGTTAACACAGCTTGGAAACAAGTGTAAACTCCCCTAAGAGAGCACATAATCTTGTTAACTATCCCGTAAACCAATCCCCACCTCGCAGTCTCCCACCTTCTCGTAATCTTCCTACTTCCTCCTTAATTTCAAATCTATAAAAGAAACTGCAACACTGTTATTCCCCAAAGCATTTGAGATCTTACTTCCCCACAATTGTCATCAGTTTTGGCTCAAGTAAACTCTCATGCAAATTCTCTACAGGCTTGGACATTTCTTCCGTCTGAAAGTATATTTGAACAAACATTTACTAAGTGCCTGATCAGTAACAGGCACTATGCTTGGCATTGAGGAGACAAAGCTTGTGCAGTGCTTGGGGGTGGAGTAGGTGGGTAGGGCACAACAAACCAATATTTTTTAATAGGTGAATGTGCTGGGAGGAAACTCAGTGGGACACAGAAGCTGAAAGTGGAGCTTCCAGTCTGGGAGTTCAGAGAAGTCTGCCCTGGGGCCCGAGTCGTCTTAGAGGATGAATGGGATCAGCAAGCAAAACTGAAGGGAGGGTGGGGAGAGAGGGAGGAGTCTGTGGTTGGGTGCTAGCCAGGACCACAGCACAGAGATGGGAAACAAATAAAGGAAATAAAGTGCCTGCAAATAAAGGAAAGCAAGAGGCAAAATATGGAGGAAGATGAGCCTGGAGAGAAAGGTAGGCAAAGCTGGGCCCATGCTAAGAAATTTGGACCTTACTTTAGGACAGGTGGTGGTTGGAAAGATTGGGAGTGGCTTCCTTCACTTGGCCCCATCTCTAGAGAATCTAGGAATTTTGTGATAAAACTCGTAAGGCCACCAAGTACAAAGGAAATGTCCGAAAGGCCCACACCCAGGAAGCATGCATTGATCTTAACAGCTGATAAACATTGTGCCTTCTGCTTCCAAACATTGCTCATGTACAATGCTTGCTACTAAGTTGTTTTTTTTTTTTTTAACCAAATTTCAATTCCACATTTTAAAAATAAGTACTGGGCTGGATTATTTTAACACAGTGCTTTACAATTTTTAAAATTTTCATGTTAAGAAGGATGACAGCCACCCTAGGATAAAAAGATAGAGTGCCTCTCAGTTGAAGAGAAATCCACCCTTACACACCCCTCTCCAAGACTTGAGGACATGGGCTGAGAGGAAAAGTCATGTCTTGGGTGGAAACCATTTGAGGAGGAGCTGAGACTCTTTGGTTGGAAGGCTTTATTTTCATTTCTATTCCAAAATCCTCTAATTCTTTAACTCTAATGTTTAGTAAACAAGTATGCATTGTATTCAACAATGATTTAGTAATTACCTACTATGTTCTGGCACTGGGCTGGGTATCAAGGATGCAATTGGGAGCAAGATAAATTGGGTTTCTCCAGGGGCTTAAAGGCCAGTGATGACAGTGGTTGGGGAATGAGGTGGACTTGGGACAAGTACATAGCTATCACTATGAAGTATGTCAAACGCGATGGTGGGAGCACTGTATCTGGCAGCACATAACAAGAGCATGATCCTGGATCCTAGACTGGGCATCAGAAAAGGCTTCCCTACAGGAAGTGATATTTCAGCTGAGAGTTGGAGGATGCAGAGGAGTGAGCCCCAAGCAGAAGGGAGAGTTCTGCTTGTTCCAAGCAGAGGGACAGCATGAGTAAGACTCTCAAAGGCACTTTCAAGAATTCAAAGGAAATTCCTGTGGCCAGAGAGGAGCATGGGGTAGAAGAGCACTTGGAGATGAAGGGAGAAGGTGGGAAGGAGGCTGGGGCCGGGTGCAAGGGCTTTGGCAGCCTCATGAAGCAGCCCATTGCCTGCTGCTGTGACCAAGTGGGACTTCACATTCCTTTCTTTATTTTACATTTGAGTGACTCACAGGAGGTTAAATAGCTTTCCTAAAAGCAAGTGATGATAAACTTACAAGGCCACCCTGTCTTCTTTGGGTTCCCCCAGAATCGCACCTTGACACGAGGATTTCATTATTTGAGGAATAAGCTGAGGAAACACCAGCAAGGAAGTGGGAACAGAAGCAAGAAGGGAAGGCAGCTAATAAAAGGTACATTAGCAAGGCAGGTAACAACTGGATACCCAGGCTTAGTCCCTGGGAGAAACTCAACATATGCCTTAGAGTCACTGCACCTGAGGGGGATGGGAGCTGGAAACCCCATTTCCTGTCAGTTTTGGGTTGAAGGCCACAGTAGAGGTGTGTATATAGGGGTGTCCATTCTCCTGCACTTTCAGTCAGCTTCACAGGCGGGCAGGTGGGTTTTGGGTTTCAGAGAATACCCTTAGGTAAAGGAAGGCAGTGTGGAGATGTGGGCATCTGGAAGGCTGGTCAGTGTGCACTCAAGTTTCAAGGGCAAACACTTGGGCCCACACTACTATATCTGCTGCACAGTTCTAGGGTCCCGGATATCTGTGCCCCAATTCTGAGCCCTTACACCACACCACACTGACTGGATTTCGACCTGACTGGCAGATGAAAGATGCACAACTGGCAGTGGATAGAACCAGTAAAGCCACAGATCACTTAGGAACTCTGCTGAGCCCTTAGCAGCTCCCAGGCCTATGGCTCTAGGCCTGTATCTCCCTAATCACAGCACAGATTTCCCATAATTCTTTTCTTCACTCTGGAGCCTTGATACTGAAGGAAAACATGCCATTTTGAGTGGCCTAGTAATTGAAGAGTGTCAGGTTTAACTGGGGAAATAAATGAGACTCCACAAAATGAGAATTTACTGAGGCATGAAGTATTGAACAATGTCAAGTACTTAGCTTCAAATAGCTGGATTAATTAGGGTAAAGTCATTTGGTTTGGGATTTTGGGGGCAATCTGACTCATAAATTTTTTCCAGAAATAAATGGGTTATAAGATTGGGAAATCTGATATTTAATAACTTAGCTTTTGGAGCTAAAAAGTTCATAGTAGTTTATCTTAATAACAATTTTTCTTAATAAGAGGCTGTGGCACAAAGGGAAGAACAGGTTCTGGCCTTTCCTTTTCCCCCTGGTTTTCTGTCCTTGTCAAACATTTACTTTGGTAGGCAATGTGGATTTAAACGTCAGCATCACGGTTCAGGTGCTCAAGGATTTCATAGTCTAGAAGAAGACAAATAGATTAGAGTATACTAACTAACAAGCTTTGGGACCTTGGGACAGTCTATCAGCCTCTCTGGGTCTCAGTTTCACTGGGAAGAGCCTTGATGAATGAGATCAGTGGTTCTCAACCTTGGCCTCCATTGGAAGCATTTTGGGGAGCTTTGAAAGCACATCAATGCCCTGGGTGGCCCCACTCCCAGAGATTCTGTCTAACCTGCTCTGGGATAGGGCCCTGGCACTGTTTTTTGTTTTTGTGTGTGTGTGTGTGGGGGGGGGGGGGTTTTTTTTTTTTTTTTTTTTTTTTTTTTT